TGTGTATTGGTTTTTATACACATATGTATACGCAGACTAACTTGCTCTAGACTATTAAATCCATCCTGTAAGTTAACCCCCTATTGCATTGGTTGCCTTAAGGTGTTTTCTAGCTTCATACATAATGTCGCTAATCTTTAGCTCCCTGCTTCCCAATGACTAGAGCAATGGGAAGCACACCGCAGCCACAAGCATCTGAAAGCATGTGCTCCACCTGCGTGTGTGCAGAGGTGGTGTGGATGTGAACGTGCAGGAAGGAAAAGGCTGTTCCTCTCCATGGGCCAAACAGTTAAACAACTGAGGCGTGTCACTGTAGGGATTTTTTTCTCCTGTCAAATTGCTACTTCTATTGTGGAAGACAAAAGCATTTCCATTTCAACAGTTTGTCTGCTTTGTTAATAACACTGGGCAAAAATTGATATGTTATAAACATGAAACATATCTATAGTTTGGAAGCAAAATTATAAAATTAAATGTCTAGGTAAACTATTTCTATATTACTATAAAGTATTTTTTGAAAAGAGATATGCAAAGAAATTATTACCTATGTGGGATGTATAAAGATTTTTTTTTTCATTCTGGATGGCAGGAATATAGAAAATCAGATATATTTAACCATAACTTCTGTGATTCATCAAACAGAACAAACTTTCATTTCATGGAGTTTATTTGTTGACATTGATTTAAAGTATCACTTGTTTTATTATGTGGGAACATAAGTTATGGGTTCAAAAATAACTAATGTTGATACAAGTTGTATTTTGGCTATTGTCTTTTCAAAGTGCTGCCAACTGAAAAGGGAAGCATTATGTTTACAAATCTGTTTTGAAATGTTTGCCACAATTTTGGTAGCATCTTTAATAAAGATGTCTTCTCTAGCATCCAAGAAAATAATTAACTTTATTTTGTCACTGTAAACCAGAGAATGTTGGTATGTAGGAATCATAAGAAAATATGTAGATTACCTTTTTTTTTTGGAGTTCTTTCTAAAACATTGGAAAGATTAGATAATATATTAAAAGTAGTATACAAAAGTATAAGACTATACAAAGACTGAAACAAGACCTTTTTGCACTACAATTCTAAAACATTACTGCAGGAATTTGATTTCTGTGTATCACAAACATCCTTGGGAATGCTGTTTCTTTTAGCATTGAAATCCCCGGTACTTTTCCTTTTTTCTTGGAATTGGTACAATCATTATTAAATATTAATTTATTTTAAACTTTTAATTAAAAAATAAAAGGAAGCTTAGTAGGGGTTAAATTGGGTCCTCATATTATTATGGCAGTCACCTGAGAGGTTTTTCTATAGGTAATGAATGACTTCACTGGTGTTACTTCTTGGACATCTTGGCCTTTTAATTAGAAATTGTGTGCTGCTATTTGCTATGATCAGTGTTTCTCAAAAGCAAGCTTCTTGGGGGCAGAGAAGCTGAGTGGTCCCAGCACCTGGAAGGAAGCTCCCCTGCCACCATCCCAAGCTCCTAGGGCAGAGAAGCTGAGCCGGTCCCGGTCCTAGAACCTGGAAGGAAGCTCCTCTGCCACCATCCCAAGCTCCTAGGGCAGAGAAGCTGAGCCGGTGCCAGCACCTGGAAGGAAGCTCCCCTTCTGCCATCCCAAGCTCCTAGGGTTGAGAAGGTGAGCCACGTGGATGCCAGAAGCACACACACACCCCACTCTGTGGAAATGAGAAGACATGTAAACAAGCCTCAAAAAAAGACTTCTGGATCACCTGCAGCAACCCCCCAAAGGGAAACGAGACGGAACAATCTGATACTGATACTCAACCACCTGGACTCTCTGAACTGGCAACAAAAGAGGATCTGGGAAAAATGAAATCAGAAATAATTACTCAGATAACAGCAAAGAG